TCCACCCTCAGGACCCACATAACTGAAGGAGAGAACTAAGTAAGCTCCCTCAAGTTGTCATGTAGCCAACATCCATGAACAAGAGCATAAGTGTATTAACAGGTACACCACGTGGACCATGAACAAACAAAATTGTATGACTGTAAAACAAATCTCAATGCCAAATGTAAAGGTTTTGAGGATATTTCAGTCTGTTGTGAATGGTGAATGTTCAACTTTCTAAGAATTTCTAGGATTTTAGTATGGAAATTAAGATCTACTCCAAAGATTTTAAGTTATTTTTTAAATTAAAGGGAAATGCAAAATGCTGACTGAAGTTTAAAATAGGGTTTGTTTGAATAATTTCTTTGTGACTAGTGTGACCCAAAGATAAATGTCAACTGATAACTTCATAGAATTCATGGGAATACAAATGTCCTATTGGTACTATAAACAGACCTACTTTGCAAACGATAGATTTTAGAATGATGTAAAACTGGGAGAACTTGTAAATAACTAAATTTAACTTGTTATAAACATATCAAGTGATTTGCACTTCATAAACCGTCTGAGAAAATAAATCTTTGAGTCACAGGAACATTTTGTAATGAATGTAGCTCTGTGTGAAGTTTGGTAAAATTAAATTTGATGATTTCATATGACTAATTTATAAAATTTAATTATCTAGTAATTTAAAAACACTTTCTTTGTGGCTAATAGTTCAAAATGTCTAAAATACCATGGGTCTTTGAATAAACACTTCCTAAGTTTGAAATATTTCCATAAAATAAGTGTGATGTCTTTTTATTTTGTTAATACTCATTACATTTTTACCATCTTCTCTTAGAATACATTATTGTTAATTACTATTTTAAAATATTTCCAAATCTATGCTTTTTATATAATAAATTTTATAGGCTGGAAATGTAGGTTGGAGGTAGAGTTCCTGCATACCATGTGTGATGTCTCAGGTTCTATCTGTATCACAGACAAAAAAAAATATTACATATGCAATGTCATCATGATGAGACTTTTTAAATATTTTCTCCAGAGAATGATGAGAAAACAGAATATGTCCCTCGTTACTCATTTCTGCCAACCAATCCACCTTTATTCTTGCGAAGGCAGTTACTTAGATTTCTGTACCCCAGCACCAGGATCCTCATAAATTTTCTCCAGACGTACAGTAAGTTATCAGTACCAACCAAGCAGTTTCTTCTTCTTAGACATGTCCAAAACAACTACCCAGAACCCTATTCAAGGTTTCCAATGGATAGTATTTGTTTCCACAATTTGTTTCCCTGGAGGGCAGTCTTTACACAGAAGTGAACGCCTACTGGTTTCTTGTTTGTTGTTTGCTTTGTTAGTCTGATTGTTTGTTGCTATCTAGAATTACCTCAGAATTTCTGTTACATCCTTCCAGATCTCCAAAATGCTTATAGCCATATATTTATATTAATCTTATATCTAAGGGTTTTATGAGATGTGAGTAAGGTGAATCTGAATCACTTCATGTGGCAAGCACTGAAGTTAGTCCTCCCTACTATAATCATTATTATGATATCAACATATCCACTGAAGTTAGTCCTTCCTACTGTAATCATTATTATGATGTCAACATATCCACTTACTTATTCTATCTGTACCATAGATACAAATTTTTAAATCGATTTTATTGTGACGGTAATGGTTATTTTCAGTGGGTTATTTTGAGGCTTTCTTTTTTGAAAACACGTAACTAATTAGGAGAAAAAATATAATTGCAAACCTTCTCCAGTAAATTTTGTTCTCTAAGGCAAATGATTTTCACTTCTTTATGGACAGTTTCTTTATGTGCTTATTCAAAGGTAAAATAATTTTTCATACCTTTATTTTTGATGAAATAAAAGAAAATTAAGCAATTGTCAAATGTTTATATTTACTTAGATTTTGGTTTTAGTTTCATAAAAATAATAACCAAATGACCAAATTATTTTATAGTTATTAGTAAACTATTAGCAAAGTTTATATGGAAAGGCAAAAATGTAGAGTGGTCAATCCGGCACAGAAGAAAAACAAAGCAAGTTCAATCTTTCTGGCAAACTAAATTGCAAGTATAATAATGCCCAAAGAATAAAAACATTGAATAAAACAGATAAAAATTGTAAACAGATGGTTCTTTCCAACCTACCAGTCACTGAATAACCGCTTAGAGACTGGATATGAATTATAAATGCTTGGTCAATAGCTCAGTCTTGTTACTAGCTAGCTCTTACATGTAAATTAACCCATATTTCTATGTTTGCTTTGCCACATGGCTCATGGCTTGTTATCTTATTTTTTTTACATGCCTTTCTTGTTTGGCAGCTGGATGGCATCTCCCTTAACTCCCCTGACTCTGCCCTCCTTCTTCCCACCATTCTCAGTCCCGCTTTCCTGCCTAAATTCCTGCCCAGGTACAAGCCTGTCAGTTTTTTATTAACCAATGAGAGTAATGCATATTCATAGTGTAGAAAAGGATTATTCCACAGCAAAAAAAAAAATTCCTAGAAATAATTTCACATCCAATCTACTACATTAATAATTGATGGAGGAGCAAAGACTTTTTAACAAGAAAAGATTTGCTATTACAACAAATGGTGTAAGAAAAAATTGGTATCTACATGCAAAAGAAGTGATTGCAGAGAGATATGGCACACCAAAAAGTTACATGAACTAGATCATAGAATCAAATTCAAAATTTGAAATTTTATAACTTTCAGGTTATAGAATTGTGTTCACTGATACATTTTTGTATGCAGTGAACACACAATTTAAATCAGAAGAGTAGCTAAGTATATGCTTTTAAAATAAAGAGCTTCTAATGAAATGTTAAGAAAATAAAAATGCAAGTAAGAGACTAGGAGAAAAGTCTGAAAATAGTGTCATATAAAAATTTATATATACATGTATAATGAACTCTTCAAAATCAATAGTAAGAAATTTAGAAAAAATTAGAAAATGATTTAAAAGGAGATACATAGAAATGGTTTTACCAAAGGACAGAGGCAAGTTTATGACAATGCCCTGTTTCTAACAAAATAAGTAAAACCCAGAACACTGACAATCCCAACTGCTGATATCCATGTGGAGGCACAGGAACTCCCATTAACTGTTACAGGTAATGAGTATGACAGCATTATTTAGATGACAATGTACCATGCATCTTCTCACAAAGATAAGCATAGACTAAACATAAAATTCAAGCGTTTTCATAAATATTTACACCTGAAAGTTGATGATACACTTGCACAAAAATATTGGCAAATGAATATTTATAATGACTGGATACATTATAGTTTCAATTTGAAAACAACCAAAATTTTAGACATTTAATAATGAAAGACTCTCTACTGAATCCATATTTGTTAAGGAATATCATTCATTGATAATAAGATGTGAGTGACCAAATATATAAAAGCACCACAAATACATAGACTTAATGGGGGACAATATGAAAAGTTTATGTATTACATTTTCCAATTATCAGACATTGTGAAAAATACAGATTATAAAAATAATTAACAGCCATTGGTTAACAGAGAATTTAAGGAAATGAAGTAGGTAAAATGTAGTGAACAGGCAAATTACTAAGGTTACTTAGTGTAGTAAAATCATTCTAGAACATATAGTAGCAGTGGACACATTACTATATGCATTTGCCAGAACCAGAAATACCAGATGCAAAAACAAAGGCTCGTCATCCCAAAGGCTCATGCTGGTTTGTTTATTGTCCAGTCATTTTATTTGATTGTTTAAAGCATGTTTTGTGTGGAAAGGAATAATGCAATATTTGGCATAGGCCTATTTGAAGTAAAGTGCTAATTATAGTAACGTTGACAGTTTATAATATTTCTTTTATATATGTTTAGCTAAAATAAGTATTGTACCATTATCAGAAAAACCATTTTGCATATTAGTAACAGTTTATAAAAAATGTATCATATATTCATTCATTTATTTTTGGAAAAAAATGTGAAATTGTATACGAAAATTTAAAGGCATTTAATATGACTTTTATTGTAGAAAGGTATCTATATAAGTGTAAAGATGCTATTGTGAATATTTACTAAAAAGTTAATCTTGTATATGACATAAAGTTATTCTCACACATTTCTTAAAACCAGAGCCAATAAATGAAGATGTTAGTAGTATCTCGAAGGAATTATTCTCTGCCTCCTCCAACTGTCTAGTTGTTGCTTTTATCCCATGTATTTTTTTGGACTACAGATGCATCAATCTAATTCTTGACCTTTGTCCCTGTGTGCTTGCTTGAATACCCTCTTTGCTGTGATGAAGTCAGCATCTTTATTTCATGGAGATAGAACTTATTAGAATCCACTATAAGCTCATCTTAGTCAGTTTAGTGGGCTAAATCATCCTTTCAAACAACTTCAAACTTGCACTTTGTCTGTAGACACACTTGGGAATTTGGATTTGTTTGTTTGGTTTCATTTTTTTTCAAGTAAATACAATAATATTTCAGTGAATTTATTTTTCTGATTCAGCACTAACTGTAATAGGTCTAGATGATGCATTTTTTTTAACTGGAGCATTGTAGCTACTAATGCATGTTTTATAGTTTATTCACCACAAAAATTTCAGGACTTACAGAATCTATTCATAGGGATGAGAATATGACTTTTAGGTGGATCTTTTCTAGCAATTATTTTCACATGAAAAGTGCTTGTCATAATAAACAATACTTTCATATAAATTAATTTAGAGTAAATAAAAGATTATTTTAGATTATGATACTTATTTTGATGTATTGCATTCCAAATTTCTAAAACTACTTAGTAGTCTCAACACAGCTTGCATCTAAATCTTAATGTGTTAATTCAATTTAATATTTTGTGCTAAGGACATTGCAATATTATATTTTTGTGGTCTTGTGTAACATAATTATCACTTCAAGGTCTTAAAATGAATTAAGATATTGCATAGTTTGATTTAGTTTATTATAGTATTTAAGCTATTTACTTACAATTTATAGAGGACATTATTGTGGATGTGGTCACTATACAAGTAGATAAAAAGATTCATGGACATTTTTACTCGAAAATGTGATCAGTTATGTTGTTTCTGGCTTATTGCATTTAAAGTCCGCTTTCAAAAACATATATTTACAATTACCAAAATAATTTAAATAAATAAGAAATAAAAAATGGTAATTTTATTTGAAGTTGTGGCATATATATGCCTGTACCATCTTACTTCTCAATATTCATTAATCAAATTAGTGTTATATAAAAGTTGAAATTTATGCTATAGTCTTATATTCCTAACTTAGAAATTTATGTGTAAACTAATTCTGAAAATTATATTATTTTGCTGATGACCTCTACAAAAATTAACAGTTAAAATTATGGATTGTTATGAGAATGTATATTCTACTTCCTAATTATTCCATAGCTTGACTATCATCATCTATTAGTTGATGTAAATTGTGATAACGTGTATTTATTTTTCTTCTTCATGAAATATATTCCCTTAAAAGATAGACATGTGGTTTATTGGGACAAAAATTACTGCAAAGAATAAAACATAAAGTCAGGGAACAATACAGATTTGAGAAAAAGGAAAGAAAGAAGATTGTGGGGGAAAGGATTTACACTATATCATTTACTGACAGACATGTGGTGAGGAAAATGGGCCCCTTAGTTATTGTCAATGTCATCTCTCACAGGAGTCCTCTTTCCCGGGTAATAGATTTGCATTCGTCTTGTGCATTGCATATTTGGTGCCTGGGGAAGGCCGGAGAGCTGTCACAGATACGAGGTGAGTCTGAGAGAGCAGCAGCTAGACAGTCAGTGAACTTTTCTCTGCAGTAGGAGATCTAGGATGCTCAGGTCCATGGTCATAGCTCACCTACGGAAATGAAGAACATGTTTTGACCATAGGTGATCTCATTGAGTTCTCATAGAAGGTATGTTCATACCCTCCTTTGATGAAGACTTAACAGAGTATTTTTGTTTCCATATTTCATAGGTTAGTTATTTGATTTTATGCATTAAAATCCTAGGGAATAACTCAAATACTCTAGATACTTAAAAGCACATCTACTATTTTTATAAAAAAAAAATCTCAGTAAAGTTATTCATCTTTGTTCTTAGCTCCAGGTTTATGTTATTTTATCCAAGTTAGTAAGATTGGATTAATTGGTACATAACAGGTTGCCATGATTCAGCTCACCTTGGTTTTATGGACTAGACAACATTCATAGATCAAAATAAGAATGAACATTCAGAAATCGCCATGCTTTTGAATGTTGTACAACCTTTTTTGATTGGGTTTGAAAATTATATAGATAATTGTATTTATACTGCTTATTCTTTAAATTTGAAGATATTTAAATGATGCATTACCTCATTTTTTCTTTAATTGAAATAATGTTATGGAATATTAAAAAGAATGACTTAATAATATCCCACAGACATGAAACTGTCATAATTCAGAGTCAAGTAATACAAGCTAAACAAACTTCTGTTTAGCTACGGCTGAACAATATATTCTGGTCACATGGAAAAAAACAAAACAAAAGAAACGTGGGGAAGAAAGGGATAGAGGGTACCTAGCTATCTTTCTTCTTTGCATATTCTGATGGCATGTAACTTTCAAGTCTTCCTCTACTAATACTAGACTAACATTGTAATGAATCCTTTGTAAATTGAGAACTTTACCAATCAAAAATGCACTTAATATGCCTCCTTGCTGATGGCTGTGTCAGAGGAACAGCAGGTGGCAACTCAAGTTTCCGGTGTCAGTCCACCAGGAGGCAAATCTCTGGTGGGTGAATCTCGGATTGGCAAGGCCCCAAGGCCACAGACCCTGGAATATCTTTTGCTTCTGCTGTGCCTTTACATGTTTGCTGCTGCTCTATTTCTCTGGTATCTGGCATGGTGTGAATGGGTATGAGGAGCTCCATAGCAAGACAGCTATCAAGGTCAATGCTTTGCTCTCTTCCATCATGTGAATATCACTTTCAAAGAAAAAGATCAAGATGAAAAGTCTAATGTATTGTTTCCACTGAATGAATCTTGATTCTCCACTAACATGTCCAAAAGAGGTTGAAACATTGGAATTTGGGAGCCATTGTGTTATTACTACAGAATAGTTATTTCTTATGTGTGTTGGCATAGTGATAAAATTTAAAATAAAAAGGCTCCATTCTTTGAATAATTTTTTAAAAATTATTAAATTGTTTTCAGATTGCTTTGTCTTAAATTATCAACATATCTTGAATGTTTATCAATTTATTAAGCTTTTTTTTGTGATTCTGTGTATGTGCTTGCATGAGTTCATGTGTGGCATGTGTGTTTTGGAGCACTCAGAGGCCAGAACAGCCTGTTATAGTCCTTGGAACTGAAGTTACAGATAGTTGTGAGACATCATGTAGGTGCTGGAAACTGAAACCATGTCAACTGCAAGAGGAATTAAGTGTTCCTTACCAGTGAGCCATCTCTGCAGCACCAACAACCCAGTAAATTTAGAAGTTAAATAAAGACTGAAAAATCATGTGCAGTGGTAATATGTTGAAGTGCTTTTAATAAAACATCCTCTTTTTACTAATCATAGCCTACTTAGATTTCTTGTTTACTGGATGATTCTCAAACACTAGTTTTATTAGGGATGTAAATTGCTTACTCTCTCTAAGCTCATGCCGTGATTATCACACACCTCATTTCACCCTCATCATTCCATAAGTCATCAGGGATGTGCACTTTTTAAAATGTATCTTATGACAGCGGTAAACCTTCAACCAATAAATATATGGCTTAACCTTTTAATAAAGGTACCCTATATCACATGAATTTTTTATTCTAAAGTAATATACTATTAACAATGGACATTAAAATATCTTACATATGAGTACATTTCATAGCTTTTCTGGCTTACATTCCTAAAGCAATTATTTTACTCAACAGTGCAGATTCATTTTGGTCATGTTTACATAAGTGCATATATCACATTTTATTTGAGTCCAGGTTTTTACTGAAATGCTTATGAGGAGAAATGGAATAATTAAGATGAAATGAGAAATGTTTGCCAATGTATTTTTACTGTGAGGCTTTCTAAGTGTTTCAAAGCACTTTTTGGCTATCTGTATCAATTTTCTGCCTACAAAAGTGAAGAGAATATTAAACTGATCTTTAAAGACACAGAAGAAAGAAAACAAAGCTGTTTGATGTACAAGGTCACAGAAATCCATCAGCTCTTTCTCTGCTCTCTTCCTTTTTAAAGTTGCAAAATATTTTTTTCTTTAGGTAAGCTACAAACAGGAGCATAAAAAACATATGGCAGTGTGAATAAATCAGTGACTTAATAGAATTTTCAAAAACCAAAGGAAAATAAACTCATTAGATTATATTTATGTGAAATATATTAAAATTGTGTGTTCTGAAGTAGCCTAGAGGTGTTTCTTTCCCTACTTTTCTCTAACACTATTTCCAAAGCAAAAAAAAAAACAAATTTAAAAAAAAATCACTGAAAGTATTGTCTAAAACCCATAAAAAGATTAATGTGAAGACTTGAATCAACACATATTATACTCAAAAAGAAAATCTGTGTTTGTTCCTTTTCTCACCTCAGAAACAAAGAAGCAACCCTGTGTAGCTAGGAGGTCATGGTACTTTTAGTCAGTTCTTTAATGACTGTCAGTCTATACTAAGCAGAAAATTTGAAAAGTGTATCTTCCCTCATTCTTAATGTTACCTTTTAAAAATGAACATTTTTCAACCCTTTCTCTGAAACAATTACGTATTTTCCAATTTTTCAGAGAATGCAGTTCCTACTAGGTAATGTGGTGGGAAATCCCAAGAGTTTTGTGATAGTGCATAATATCCTGGACGGTTTAAGATTTAATGATGGAAGCCTACCAGTGAGCAGGAGGTAGTGCAAATCAAGATTGTTGTGTCTGGACAGGATTATATAGTCATGTGCTGTATCTGTCAATACTTAGGACTTGCATAGTAGAAAAGGAATATAGTCATATTTGCTGGAAGAGATTCACTGGACATGAGAGTGATAGGCCATATCTTAAACTGCTTGAAAAATTAATTATCAAAAGTAATAATGCCATCCTCATCTAAATAGATACAACATAACCAATACCACCAAGTAAATATCTCTATGATGAAAAACATTAAATCTATGTTTCTGGAAAATAAACAAAATAAAAATAACTATACAAAGCCAACAAAGTTATAACAGAAATAGCAAAAGGCAGATAAAATGTTTCTTAATTTTACTTTTGTATATTGAATTTAATAGACATATGCATTGTTTAAATAAGAATAAAAACATGGATTTTGTTCAAAGTGAGTATTTGCATTCCTAGGAACACAAAGCATATACACATAAATTTCTTTGACTTTATTTCTTTATGTGTATTACTTCCTGACCCAAGTTTCCCCTCCCTCTTCTCCCCTCAGTGTTTTCCCCCCATCTCACCTCTCCACCCATCTCTGCTTCCTCTCATTAAAAGAGCAGGCCTCCCAGGGATATTCAGAAAACACGGCATAACAAATTACAATAAGACCAGGCATATGCCATCACATAAAGTCTGGACAAGGCAATCCAATAGGAGGAAAGGGTCATACAAGTATGCAAAAGAGTCAGAGAGCACCCCTGCCCTAGCTCCCCCTGTTAGGAATCCCACAAGAACACTAAGTTACTCTACCATAACAGTTGCACAGGACCTGGCTGAGACCCCTAAGGCTCCCTGATCTCTGTGAGCCCCATGAGTCCTGGTCAGTTGATTCTGTGGACCTTGTACATATGGTGACCCTAGCCCCTAGGACTCCTACAATTCTTCCTGCCCTTCTCCACAGGACCACCCTGAGCTGCACCTAATGTACTTTGAAATGCTGCCATCGGTTGCTGGATGAATTCTCTCTGGTCTCTTTGATGAGCAATCTGCTAGGCTCCAGAAATCTGTAGGAGTGATAAACTGAAGGTTTTATGGCTGGGTTGGTGTCTCAATTCCTCTACTTGAGGCCTTGCCTGGTTACAGAAGATGGTCGGATCAGGCTCAGTGTCTCCTATTACTAGGAGTCTTTCCTTAGATCACTCTTGCAGATTCCATGGAGTTTCCATTGCCTTAGATTTCCACCTTGCTCCAAAATGCCTGCCCAATTCCAGTCATTTCTCCCAGTATTTTCTTTATCCCTCCCTGCATCTGATCCTTTCTGTTCCCAAACTTTCTTGTCCAAAGTCCATTAAATATACATATACATTATTTAAATAAGTATAGAAATGTATGAATTTTGCTTAAATGAGTATTTTCATTCTTAGGAACACAAAGCATATATAAAGAGATTTCTTCTAAAAAGACAATCTGGAAGGGAGTAAAACAGCAAGATTGAAACTGATTTTTACTGGTTGTGGAAATGGACTTGAGTGTGGATCTACCTATATCGATCAGGTTTTCACAGCTTTAGTCAACACTAACTTAGAAGCCCTGAAAAAGCCAAAGTTTAAAAGCTAAGCTTCGTTTTTAAATATAATCATTTATGTTTTAATTATTGTATTTTTGAGATTAAAAAATCTCATAGTTTTCCCCTTTCTTTTCTTTCCTCCAAAGCTTCCCATATAATCCTCCTTGTTCTATTTCACATTCATGTTTAATTATCCATTGCCGTGTTTTAAAAAAGACTTCTGTAAACTTAGTTCTGCAAATTAACATTAATTTTCATCACCATTTTTGTATGTTTTTAACTGAGAAACTGTTCAGCTTAGCATTTAGAATCTAAATTACTTACAGAGTTCAGTCATGGTGTTGACCAAGGCTGTGATCTCTACTGAAGGATTATTTGGTGTGAACAGCTCTACACTCATCTATTCCATTTATTACTATTGAGGTATATTTCCTTGCAAGCTGCTTAGCTAAGAAGCTGTTCCTTACAAGGTAAAGGCAACAGCCTTACTTTAGTTTTTGCATATGAGACTTCTTTCCCTACGGGATTTTTCACATGGACACCAGCCTCCCCAAAATGCTTGTCTTAGTTTTAAGGAATTTTCAGTTCTTTTTCTAGTCAAGCTTATTGGAAGAAATTCTGGTTTTACCATTTCTTTGCTTATTCAGAAGTTTTCTTTTTTTTTCTTTTGTTTCAGTTCTTGGTATTAAGCCCAGACCTTTGCACATATAATCCAAGTTCTGTCACCACTAAGCTATACTCCAGCCACTTACTTAACACTTGAAACAATTCTTTTATTTTTAATCATATGTACATGTTTGTGGGTATATCCATGTGTAAGTGTAGGTACCTGTGGATTTCAGAGGAGGCCAGGGGATATCTTCAAGTTGGAGTTACAGGAGGTTGAGAGTCACTTTGCCTTGGGTGCTGGGACCTGAACTCCAGTATTCTCTAAGTACAGTACATTATCTCTACTACCAAAACTTCTCTTTACCCAAAACTCAATACATTTACTTCACTTGGTCAATGCTATGTTGCATATATCCTGAGATTATATGCACAGTTAGTGGGAAATGTATTGTCCTATGGAGTATAAAAAATGGAAATTGGACTTTTCATATTAGAATAAGGCAGTTGTACTATGTTTTTGTTTTTGAAAAAAAGAGGAAAAATTCAAAAGAATGATTAACTCATAGTCTACCCTAGCCTTTCTGGTACATTCTAATCATGAATCCCTCCTCCTTCTTGTGTCTTCCTTATCCTCCTCCTCCTTTTCCTCCTCCTTTTCCTCCTCCTTTTCCTCCTCCTCCTTCTCCTCCTCTTCCTCCTCCTTTTCTTCTTTCCCTCTTTCTCCTTTTCATTCAAGTGTGTTTCTGTGCATACTGTGTGTAGCTGTCATGGCATATGTATCAAAACCATACAACAACTAACTTTGTGGGACAATTTTCTCCTTCTATATTTATCTGGGTTTTAGGGATCAAAATTTGAGCACTTGACTTACTAGGAAAGTGTCCTTATCAGCTAGGGCATCTTGTCAATTGTGGGATAACTCTGGAGCTAAGCCCCAGCACCGTGAACTCAATAATATTTGAATCAGTTTTTCTTCCTCAGAATAATTTACAAATTAAACCACCACCCAATAACAATCACCTATTATTGCCACAGTAAAGACAGATGTATTTTGTGATTTTAGTCCAGATATTTTTTATTATCATTCAGCTATACAACTTTTGGTATTAGCTCCAATTTTTCTTTCACAAGATGCTTACTTGTCCCAAGACACCTAGTGTTCAGTGTACAACCATGCTCTCTCTTTTGCTGCACTGCTTGCAACTGTTTATCAGCAGGGGGAAAAAAGTTCTTTATTCTAGAAAGCTATGAGAAGGATGATTACCCAAGGTAGTTACCAACTGTGGAATAAACCTCTTGTACACTGTAAAGATTCATCATTGGAATTGGTTTAATAAAATGCTGGTTGGCCAGTAGCCAGGCAGGCAATATAGGTGGGGAAACCAAACTAAGGATGATGGGAAGGAGAAGGGTAGAGTCTAATGAGTAGCCAGTCAGATTCAGAGGGATCATGAGATGACTGTCCCATGTACCCTAATAAAGATACTGCCATGTGGCAGAGCGTAGATAGACATATGGGTTAATTTAAGTTTAAGGGTTAGCTAGTAACAAACATGAGCTATTGGCCAAGCATTTATAATTCATACAAGCCTCTGTGTGTTTATTTGGGACTGGGCAATTAGGATAGGATGCATCCAATTATAATTATTTTCTATAACTTATATGACAAAGCTTATTTGTATCATTACTTTCCACTTTGATAACTCTATGTAAATCCAACACTGATATGGTCTTCATATGGTACTGAGTTTTCCTAAATTTTTTTTTCCCTGTTGAGAAAATGATTCTTACTATATACCTTAACTTTGCTTGTATGTCTCAGCTTTGGCAGTGCCGCAAGGCCAGACACTTAAAAGATCTTGATATCTACATGAAATTGAGATGAAAGAAAAAAGTTAGAATATTTTTCAACTTTATTTTGGTCACATCACGTTGTGCTTTTGCGCCTCATTTTGTGATTTTTTTTTCCCTTTCCATAAAGATGCTTCCTGCATGTAAATGCTCAAGAGACATTTTCAAATTAATGTCTTTATACATATCAGACTCTTTAAATTATTGTATTTGGAGAGATAATTCTCTAAGATAATTTAGTGCAGGATGTTCTATGAGTTTTGCATAAAATGCCCCCCAAAATCTCACAGAGCATATTTTTTTTTCTTTTTGTAGCTTCTCAAGAAACAGACTCCTAAGTTGAGGGTAAAGTTCAAAAGTCAAGTGTTGAAGAAGCACACCCATGGGAGACTAGTGAGAAAGTGTAGGAAACAAGACAGGAACAGAAAGAAATTAGAAGATGAAAACCCAGGACGGGTCATGCAGAGGGTAGCTAGATTCTTAGCCCGCGGGAACTCCGAACTATAAATTCTACTTCTAAATGGAACTGGCCTAAGGAAAAGGTGAATATCCCTAATTTTTGACATATGCCTGGGGTCATCCATGAAGGTATTGTAGAAAGAAAAACATTCTCTAAATTCTTCTGTTTAACCTTCAGAGGGTGTCAAGAAAGTGGGATCTAAGGGTCCTCTGACTCCTGGTCAGGAGCACACGGAGATGTTAGAAGGGTTCCCAGTAGACTGGGTGGAAGGACACATCTGAGCACAGATGCACTGGGTTGTGCTATCATGAGGGTATTAAACTACATTTTGGGGAAACTCTTATTTCCATGTTTTCACGTATTTGGAAAATTTTTCTCTTTTATAATGTTTCTTATACTACATTTTTCATTGAAATTCAGTTACTGAACATTGCCCCTGGGAGTTTGACCATTCTCCAATGAGTATACGGACATCAGAAATTGGACTTGGGGATTTTTTATTATTTACTTTTGGGGCAGAGCACAAGGGTGAGAGGTAGACCTGAGAGGAAAAGGAAGTGAGTGGGATCAGGGTACATTGTATGAAATTCTCAAATAATGAAAAAAATATTATGTTGGGGAAAAATACAGTTACATACATTGGTACATTGTCTCAAATTCATCTTGTAAAGGGCAACTTTAAAGTGTGTCTCAGATTATTTTATAGTATTATTTATTAGCCCATAAGTGTTAACAATATCTATTACAGAAGAATCAGAGAAGTAATGAAGGGAGGGAGGGGTGGAAGGAGGGAACGAAGTTGAGAGGGAGATAGGTTTAAGGGAAGAAAGAAAGAGATGGAGGAAGAAAGGGAAAACACAGGCTAGTTACCTCAGCTACAACCACTCCAAGTGGGAAATCAATTGCATAACAAACTAGATCGTTGCTTGATGCTAATCATGGTGAATTACTTTACAAAACAACCGCTATCATTAAAGTCTACACATGAATAAAACATGCATGAATCAGTGCAGACTATTTAAAATTAAAGGGGAAAGAAATCAAAATTCAGTCACTTTTCCTCCCTCAATTGTGTGAGATTCAGGTTCTGACAGCCTTGGCACACAACCTCTTCTTAACCCCTTATAGTCATTCTGTGCACCCATCCCCTTTTCTAAAATATCATACCAATAACCTTACTTCAGAATTCTTAGCATTTTTCGTGCTTTTTTGTTAATCCCTCCTGATAGTCTTCAACTCTAAACTATTAAAATCTAGGTATATTTAAAACCACATCTATTTTTTAATTAGTTTTCGTTTCTCATTCCTCTCCCTTTTTTGTTACCCAGAGATTCAGCAGAAACGGGACCAATATTGACAGCTGCTGATTGTTTGGGAAATCAGTGTGATCTACAGCTCTTGCCACAGTGTTGGAGCTGCATTCTCCTCTCCAAGGCTTGGCAATGGCAACAGAACTTAGAATCTTGGCGCCCTTCACCTTGGCCTCCCTCCCTCTCTAACGTTTATCATTGTTTATCCCCGAGGCTCTGAATGGGTTCCTTTATACTTCCTGTACTCACCTCGGTTCTTTACAGTAATGAATTAATAATCAAAACAAAAATAATAACAGTTCCAGGCTACTAACAAAACGAGTTAGCTTATTCTCTGATAGTTTATTATTTGGAAAGATGAAGTGCAATGGTAAAAGTGAGACTTTTGTTTTATAGTTCTAATCTGAAAATGCACTTTCATTAAGCATTGAACCGTTTATATCTGAGTGACATTAATTGAAGCGACTCTGGCCAGCTAGAGAGTGGCAAGCATGGCTCTGGCAGGCCTTGTCCTTCTCTCCCATTCCCTCTGCCTTGCTAAAAATCATTAGATTACATTCTTAAAGCTAGCGATCAAAATCTATTTCCTTATTTGACCACTTCCTCCTCCTGAGGCTGACTACCAAGGTCCAGCTATCAAAATTCTAAAGTCCCGCACTCAAAAACACACCCCTTTGGTTCTCCTAATTAACACGCCCAATCAAAATATCCCACGGCTTCCTAGCCCATTCTAATACAGACCTCCCCTTTATCTCTTCTTAAAAATCACACCTGCAAGGTCATTTGCTGCCTAAGTCAGAATGCAGCCACTTTCAACTTTTGTTCCCTACTTAATAAAGAATCTCTCTGAAAACACATGTTTGGGTGTGGTTTGCACCTAATCCAGGGTCCAGAGTGACCCCTGCTGTGTGTGTGTGTCTCCTTCTTTAATTTCCATGTTTTATAAATAAAAGGAAAAAATGCATGTTGATATATAGATATTACCATGAACACTTAGTAAATGTTAGCTACTATTAAACAGAGGAGATCCCCATGAGTAAATTGGGGATGTGAGTAGGCAATAGAGGAGAAGGGATGGAGGATGAGAACATGAGGAAGTTGCTCTGGGGGAGGGATGGAGTGGGAGAGCAATGAAAGAGATATTTCAATAGCAGGAGACATTGTGGGGTAAGGAGAAACCTGGTACTAGGGAAATTCCCAGGAACCCACAAGGATGATCCCAGACTAAACTACTAGCAATAGTGGAGAGGGTGCCTGAACTGGCCTACCCTGGTAATTATGTGGTGCATACCCTAACTGTCATCATAGAACTTTCATCCAGTAACTGATGGAAGCAGATGTAGAGATCCACAGCCAAGCACCGGGCCAAGCTGCAGGAGTCCAGTTGAAGAGAGGGAAGAGAGATTAAATGAACAAAGGGGGCCAAGGTCATGATAGGAAGCTAAAAAAGAAGCAATTAAATATATTATTAGGAATAATTCTTAGTGGTCTATTTAACAAGGCACATAAAAAAACACTTATTAATATCTATAAAAATGCATTAAAGGTAAAGTAAATCAATGTAGGGGTGTATTGATGCTTTGAACTAGAGCAGTCACTGTTAAGACTTCAATTTGTTCCAAATTGATCAATCTCTCAAACTCTCTTCCATCTATCTGTCTATCTATCTATCTATCTATCTATCTATCTATCTATCTATCTATCTATCTATCATCTATCTACCTATCTTCTATATATCTGTAATCTAGCTATCCTTGTACTACGTCAAAGTCCTTGATTTTTTTGTTTGAAATTAATAGATTATAAACTTTATCTGTATTTAAAGGAACTTAAAAGAGTCAATATAATATTTTTAGAATAAAGACTGCCAATTTTCCTTTGCTGGTTTTTAAAACAGTGTAAATCTATAGTAATTAAGAAAGTATGTTGTCAACATATGGAAAAATAATTATAGCAATAGTATAAAAAACCATCTGGGAGCCACATTTTTATTATGACTTCCTTTTAAAAATGCATATATCTAGATAAATAATATATGTATATTATTTATATATAGGCATATGTGTGTGCATGTATCAACACTTAGTGAACAGAGGCAATTAATTTGATAGTTGAAAATTTTGTATGATCTATTATGAGCATAATCTCCCTCCTCTCCCAAATCTTCCCAGATTCACTCAACTACATATAATTTTTTTCAACATATTCAGTCAAACTTCTGCTATCTGCATATTTTTGTGAGTGGCCTTCCTATAGCATGGTTGATATATCAGTGGTCATGCATTTAAGTAAATCAGAATGTCCGTCTACCAGAAGCTATCAATCCCAACAGATTTTCAAATTATGTGGGGGTCTTTATGTCTACCTCTTTTCCTAGATGCCGGGATTTTGTTTGGCTTAAATTTTCACATTTTTTTTTCAGTTCATTTTCTTTTAATTGGAAATAGAGTTTTTTCCATGCAATACATTCTAATAACAGTCATCGCCATCCCGGCTTGTTTCTCCTCCCAGATTGTCCACAACTCCCCAGTTTTCAAACCATGCCTCCTTCCTCTCTTTAGAAAACAAACATGCAAATAAAAATATAGTACAAAAGACAGAAAAACCATAACCAAAGCAAAAGCATGAAAAGCACCTGGACACACACACACACACAGAGAGAGAGAGAGAGAGAGAGGAGAGAGAGAGAGAGAGAGTGTGTGTGTGAGAGAGAGAGAGAGAGAGAGAGAGAGAGAGAGAGAGAGAGAGAGAGAGAGAGAGGACACCCATAAAAACATAGAATTAGAAAATTTTGCTTAATATATATATAGTTATATATATATAGTTATTGTTTATCTGTATTATATATAGTTAAAATATTCCCAGGCAAAACAATATGAAACAAACAATATGCAAAAATACTATTGAGCATGTTTTTTGCTGGCCATGTAATGCTGGATAAGTAAACGTCCTGCCCTTAAGTATGGTTTATATACCCCTTGGGACTTCATTAGAAAAGACTACTCTTTCCTTTATAAGTTGTTGTCAGTTGGAGATAGCATCTTTTTTAGTGATGGGAAATCATGGACACTTCTGTCTCTCAGTGCTGGACCATCATCTGGCTTGGGCCTCTGCAGGCCCTGTGAATACTGCTGCCATTTCTGTGACTTCGTATGTTCACCAGTCCTGTCATGTCTGGGAGGCCTTATTTCCTTGTTGTCTTCCATCTCCGTTGGCTCTTGCAATTTTTCTACCCTTTTCTGCAACATTCATTGAGCCCTGAGGCGAGGGATTTGATGGAGACATTTGATTCAGAACTGAGTGTTCCAAGGTCTCTCACTCTCTGAACTGTGTCCTTTTGTGGGTTTCAAAATTTGTTCCCATCTACTGCAGTAGGAAGCTTCTCTGATGGTGGCTAAGACACACAGTGCTCTATGAGTATAGTAGGATGCCATTAGGAGTTGTTTTCTTGCTATATCTATTTGCAGAGTAGTAGTAGATGGTTTTATTAAGATGCTTATATTATAGTAGGTTTCCATATAACCTCTAAGATGACCTGTAGTTTTTTGTGATAATTCCCTGTATTCCCTCTGTTAGCCCCCCCTGCCCCTTTACTCCATTCTCTTCATTTATTATTTTTTAAATTATTTTTAGATTTTTTTTTAAATTTTAAACAGGGTCTCACTATATAGTTCTGGCTGTCCTGGAACTCACTATGTAGACCAGACTAGCCTCAAACTCACAGAAATCACCCTGCTTCTGCCTCCAAGTACTGTGATTATATATATGTGCAACTATGTCCAGCTTTCACCCCTCCATTTAATCCTCCAATTCCAGTCTTCCTGACATATGTCCATAACTCTATATACTACTTCCCCTTCTACAGGAAATCCCTTCCTTCCTTCCTTCCTAGTAACCTACTCTATACTGAACCTCTCTGGTTATATTGATGATCACCCTACCAAAATAAACCTGAAGATTTAAAATAATCTCTACCAAAATTCCAACATAATTCTCCACAGAAATTAAAAAAAAACATTTTCAGGTTCATATGGAAAGACACACACAGAGACAGTCAGAAACACATACTCATGCACACACACACACACACATACACACACACACACACACTGAGAGAGAGACAGAGAGAGAGAGAGAGAGAGACAGAGAGAGAGAGAGAGACAGAGACAGAGACAGAGATAGAGACAGAGAGACAGAGACAGAGAGACAGAGAGAGAAGAAAGATGAAACAATCCAGAATGATACAAGATCTGCTGGAAGTAAAACCAAACTCAATCTCAAATTGTACTACAGAGTGTTTTTGATAAAAGCAACATGGTATTGGCACACAAAAAAAGGTGTTGCTCAATTGAATGAAACTGAAGAACCAGAAATATTTCAACATACCTATGAATAGCTGAAATTTGATTAAGAAGCTAGAAATACACTGGAAAAGAGACAGCATCTTCAACAAATGATGCTGCTCACACTCAATACAATACAAACAGAACCATACTGACTATACTGAAAATAACTCAGCTTCAAATAGGTCCAGAATCTCAACATAAGGCCAGGTGCCCTAAATGTGACAGAAGTCAAAGTGAGCAATATTTTCAACAGAAATTAGAACATCCTGGATATCTGTCAATGGATATATAAAATGCAGTACATTTTACACAGTTGAATATTACTCAGCTGTTAAAAAATGAAAGTTTAAAATATGTAGTTAAAAGGATGGAGCTAGAAAAATATCTGCATATGCATATATGTAAGTAACAATAGTTATAGAAAAAAGAGGATGAATTTAAATGAGCAAAAGGAAGTGTTTATAAGGAGGAAATGGAATGGGGAAATTATGTAATTATGTTATAATCTCAAAAATGAAAGGAACTATTTTAAAGAAAGAAAAAATATTTTGGGAAAATACACACACACATATTTGTAAGAATGTATGTTGATAACATTTCTAATATTAGCAATCAATAGAATTTTAATGGAGACAATACTATGCTTAAAGTTATGAAATTTCACAAAAATAATATTGGAGAGTATTTTGTCCCTGTAGAAATAAATATGGTTAGACAGGGTACAAATGTCCTAAGTGTAAAAGAATGAAAATGACCTGTGGTCTTTATCAAATATTTCACAAATCAGA